TTGGGATGGCGGAGATTGGCGTCTGCCGATTTGCTGAAGATTTACAACCAGGCTTGATGGGCAATAATATAAGGAAATAGATAAAACGAGACTAATAACGAATAAGAGAAAGATTGCCGACTTGATAATCAGTGTGTAGGTTTTTTGTCTTATGTATGTACGTTTGTAGATGAATGAGGTTACCGGATGCTGATGGTTACCGGATGTGTAAGGATGCTTTGCAGTAAAACGTCAGATGGCGGCGAAGGGACAAAGGAGAGAGTGAGAGGCGAAACCTGGGCGTGGGATGAGATGGGAAATATCGGCAATTGAGATGCAGAAGCCGATGAAAGCATATGACAGACAGACAATGAAAATGAAATGATATGAGGTTTGTGGTGAGAAATGATTTGCACTGAACCTGATTGAAGAGAGTGGATATGATCTGAGCAAGGCAGTTCCGGTAGCGCAGATAGGTATCGTATCAAAACGCGAATCGAAAGATAAAAAAAACGAAACTGCTAGGATGGCGACAGTCGAGGCGGAGATCCAATGCTACCGCTACCGGGGCATGGGTATCAAGTTAACGTTAGAGCAGCAAGCAAATGGGGGCTCCGTCTCTTGGTTTGGCCAGCTTCGGTTTGAGGATGCGCCGGAGGGTTTTTAGCGTATGGAGTAGCGAGTGGTGTTATGAATGGCTGAATAATTGAAGCAAAATAGAAAACGGTCAAAAAAGAGAGTTGTAAGCAGCAGTAGTAAAGAAAATTGAACGAATGAATGTAGTAGTAGAGTGAATGAATGAACGGATGGCGTTTTTGGGTCACCAATGATTTACAATATTGAGTAACTGAAAACAGAAAAGGAAGAAGAAAAAGAGGAAGAGGAAATGGGGAAAGTCAAGTCTATACAAATTCACAGAGACAATTGTTGGTCGTCATGGTGAGGATTCAGAAAAAGTGAACCCAGAAAGTCAAACAGAAACAGAAACAGACCACTCTCCCCAAAGTTGCTCCCAAGGCCGTGTCAGATCATCGAATGAGAGGGCTCCGTGGCGCACGCCAAGTGAACTGAGCATTCTTGGGACGATGTGGGGAAGCCAGAAATGTCTCTGAAAGGAGTGTGCATCCCAGCTAAACCTCCCAAGCTGACCTGCTTCAATGGTGAGAGTTAAGATAAAGATGATATCAGCACGATGACGATGAGCACGGTCTGGAGAAATGAAGCGAAGCGAAGAGACGTGGGGAACAGAAACAGCCTTGGACCAGGAAAATACATAATATGGACAGACATGAAAAAGTGTCAAAGCTATCAACTGAGAGGTGGAGTCGCCAGTCGGTGACACACAGTGAGCCTAGAGCTTCAGCTTCCCACGCCTTTCCCCAATTGCTTGCGTGCGTGCCTCACGATCCAAAATACCTATTCTCTGCCCCCTTGTCCTCCGTATCGTCCGCTCCGTGTCATCCGGACGCGCCGGTAAGGGCAATGAATCAGGGCACAAACTGTGTCAACTACCATTGCAGGAGCGTTAGCTCTCGGTAGATGGGTTTAGCAGAGAATCGTCAATCTCGATGGTTCAATACGACATGGTCAATCCTTCAAAGAATGGAAAAAGCTTCACCGACATTATGAGGCTCGCATTGTATGTGTGCCATACGGGTGCGTTCCATGGCTTGCACCGCAGCCTTGAGTCTGAGCCTGTATCACTTGGATTCTGTGTGTTATTTCCAAGGCAGAGCCCCTTGTTGAACCGGAGCACGGGGCAGAGGTCTCTGGCCCTGTAGCACGGTAGCGAGGGCATTGATCCGAAGCTTCTCTCGGGTGTAGTACCATTGGAAATTCCGTGCATTTGAACTATCGAGAGCAAGGAAAAAAGAAGAAGCCAAGCCCATTCGCTTACGAGGATTTCATTTGATAGGGGGGGAGCACAACGTCCGTCCGCCAGGTCAACAAACGCAATGCATGGTCACTCGTGACATCTTTGTCGTCAATGACGTATGTCGTCACAGAAACCACGCCCTCATTCTTTCATTGTCTCACCACACACGCTTTTTTCTTTTCTTTTTCCTTCTCTCTTTTCTGTCTTGCAAGAAAATTAATGCTCCCAACCAACACCACAACACACAGAATCTCGAGATAGTCTCAGCCGGGAGGCTCCCCCAGACTTTTCCGGTGCAACTGCAACACTGGTCCTGGGCCAATTACTAAGATCTACAAAACAGGACCTGAAGCTCCATAGCATGCCATTTGCCCAGATGCTGATCCATGTCAATAAACCATGCCATGATACAGTATCATCCGTGCCCATACCCGCTGTTATTTCAGTGGGCGACGGACAAACCCCAGGTCCAAACGTCTCACGATGCTTGTCGCCCACTGATTCCCCCAAATGAACGTGTGAAGTCAAAGTCAAAGGACGGGAAATCTCCAAGACAAAGCAAAAAAGCAAAGCCCAACGCTCGTGGCTGACACACTTGGAGAGCCTCCAGATTGTTCGTTCGCGTATGTGGGTCTCAGCCATAAAAAGCTAGAGCCTCTTCTCTTTTTTTCCTTCCTTGTCTGGCACTCTCCAAGATGAAGCTCTGAACACGGTCATGTCTCTTCACCCAGACAACATATCGCATGATTCAGGTAGTCATGAACAAGAAGGCAGACTCAAAGTCAAAGAGTCAAGACCGCTTCTTTCCCGCTTCAATAGTTTCCAGACGATGGCGGCTGTCTTCTCCTGCTGCTGCACCATCCCCAGACGAGACTACATCCGACATGCACGGCTTAGTCAATAGGACTAGCATGTCAAAGCTTCCTGTCATGGCAGAAGACAGCCTCGCACTGGTATTGGCTGCACGAGTTTTTCTCTCTCCCTACTGAATTATTTCTCCACGGAGCTGTTCTCTAAAACATATTTGTCTGGCGCTTTGGGCGGGATGCAAGTCTGGAAAAATTAAATGTCACGGATCCCCCACGTACTACGCACAGTAGTGTTGAGCTTGTTTATCCTACCGTTACGAAAAACTGAACTGAGCGAGATTAAAAAGAGTCAATCCCAGATCGAGGCTCCAAGGGCGAAGCGAGGACATGGATAAGACCTGCATAGAACGAGTCTAGCGTTCAGATAACGACGATGCACAGACCAGATCGCCCACTCACACTTCTCAGCCTCTCCTTGGGATGCTATTTCTGTATTGGTCCAGAAAATTTTCAACACCTCCAGGGTTGTATCCAAAAGCCTCCAATTGCCCCTCGTTATCAGCTTCAATTTCACATCCCGAGTCCAGTCCAAACCATTCCCGCCCATACTGACTAACAGACCGGTCGGTAGGTGGAGACATTCCACTCACATCTTTTATTAATTCTGATAAATATCCTCAAATGCCTCAAATGCTGCCGAATCTAACGGCAACTAAGGCAAACCGTCTATTTCCCCAAAGAAGCTTGTCTTATTCTGACTGTTCATGGAATGACTGCAGGGTGAGGGTGAGGGTGAGGGCGAGGGAGGAGCTGTGAGTGACAGCGCTAGGGCCATATCGAGAGGATACTAGACCCAACAATGGGAAACGCCCCAGAAGCTAAAGTCTTGGTGTTTTGTGGTTCGTCTTAACAGTTCTGGGTAGGTTGTTGGGTACGCGAGCGTTAACGATCTCACTGTGGCTTGCATCTTCACATGTGAATTGTGTGCAACTGCTCATCAATGCTATCCTCATCAGTTACTTTACATACAAAGGACCCTGATCCCCAACCAACCATAAAGTCCCCTGTAATGATGCGATGCCCACCATTTGAACTCAAGGCGGTTACTGTTACTGTTGCAGTTTAAACGAAAGCTGACAGTCGCATCGCCACCGATATGCTCTGCAACCGGTCCCCCCCAACAAGTGAAAGGGCCAGGCAATAAAAGCGCAACAACACCAAGAGTTTTCATCGCCACCCATTAGTCACATACTACCACCAACAAGTAAATAGCTTCTTCCCTTTCCGTCCTGTCGCATCCCCCAACTTATCGTCTCACTCAACCTTTATAATTGTGTTTCTGCCTGTTCACCGGGGATCCATTCTCAATGCACACCAACTCTACGGCAAATGTAATGTCGCACTCAGCGCATCGCGCCCGTAACGTACGGTTTTGCACAAACTGCAGGACGACCGTTTCTGTTTTACGAGATGTGATGATGATCCTTCAGACGGGGCTACGTTTCCCAGAGCGTCTATTTTGGACAGATGCCGACCGAATATGAATATGCAATAAACCATGTTTGTTGTTGCTTTCTATTGTGATATGACTGATCTGCTTTGTACCTTACCCTTGTCGTATGATAATGCGCGGGAGAGCGACAAGATGCGCAGCCAGATCATCAAGGGTGATGGCGACGATAATGAGACCGGAAAAGCCATCACAATATCTTGTGTAACTCACGCCAGAGCCTCTATTCATCACGTAACATAAGCTCCGATGTCGCTCTGCTCTTCTCAGTCTGATGCCATCCAACCGCTGTAATGACATTGACACAACCTCCAACACCGTGATGACTATCAGACTATCACACCGATAAAAGCACAGATAGCCAAACATATCTAAAAGCAGTCCTTATCAGCACTCGCACTCACTATCAATTGGCCTGGCGCCGCCCCGCGAATGCAATGAGTGCATCTCCTGCGTTTCTTTCGCTCCTCGCACGCCACAGCCAGTAGCAGGGGTGGGTGTCAGCGTGCGCACACTGCATCTCGATGTGTGTGAGCGAAACGGCGAGGATCTCTGTGGCTTGATTGGCTTTTTTGCAGCAGCGGTTCGCAGGGAGTTTCGCTAAGCATGCAAGAGTGGGCGCCATGCCATCCGTGGGAGCTTGGACAGGGAATGAGAGGGCAGGGATGAGCATTGACCAGGGCGACATTCAACTTTGGTGGGACTGAAGCTGCAGACCGAGATTGAATGGAGTTTGGAGTTGGAGTCGACGAGGCCAGGGTGAAGGTCGCATATGACAGAAATATTAGTGCATTCTTACCATGAGTATTCTAAGCATCTGACTAACTTATTTCCGCACCCTGCCCCAAGGTCTCGCCTTTTTGGACCCCATCGAGCTCTGAAGCTCAATATCAATCGCATCGTATTCAGTGACCCACACTAGACGCGCACGGTCTTCGAGGCGATGATTTGCAGTGAATGCCATTAATGGCATGATAGCAAGACACTCCAGTAACACTTTGGTCTGGGCGCCTCTGACCATGATGGCTTCCAGAGGCGTCTTCAATCCAGCCAACAATTGCCCTTTGATCTCAAGGGTCTCCTGTGAATCGAAGATCAATTACCGTCTCAGTATAATAAAAATCTTCAACACTTGTTCGCCACCCATGTTGTGTTGCGTTGCGTTTCACTCCATGAATCTAGACGCCTGCCGCTGTCCCTAGGAAGCAGATATCCGAGCGCCACTGCCTATACTGCTATTAATTGTCTCGTTTATAAGAACTAAACTCGATATGCAACTATCTCCAGCCCCTTGGGTATCAGAACATCAACATCCTCCATCCGCCGGCGGTTAGGTGGGGTCAAGGGTTCTCTTGGTCTGAGTTCATGGTGTTAACAGGACCCACGAGCCAAGAAAGCACAACATAAATGATCTGATTGAGGGTATACCAAGTAAAAACCTTCCTCCTCTCTTCATCTCATCATGCCACGCCGAGGCCGTCCTCTTGGTGTTTTGCATGATAGCCAAGCCTCGTGGGTCACAACCGCTCATCCTTTGCCCATTCTTCAACACACTCGAGGGGATCTTCAAAGGGGTCCAGCCTCAAAATGATGTCTGCTACCCTGATCGTCCGGCATGATAATGCCACCAAAAAGAGAGCTGTGTGAGTGGATATACAGATGTGCCCAAAACCATTCCCCCGTACATTACAGTGATCTTCGTTGCAGTGTTTCTGTGTGTACGCCCTCACCCTCACGGCTGGGAATAAGGGGAGACCCTTTATGTGGCGATAAAAACAAGGCAGAGAACGGGCAAAATAAGGACCCTTCATACATTCCACCTACGTAGAATAGAGAAATACCCCGTAGGAGGAGAAAAAGGGTCTGTCCAAATTGAGTTTACTTTCTCTCCGCTGCTCACCGACGTTACCATGGGAGAATGACGGTCGCCTCAAAAAGATACGCCATATACGCAGCCACGTCCGCAATCAGAAGGATGAGATGAGAAGTGAAATGAGACGCCCCAGCTACATTACATTACAACACAGCATGTTCGAGGAGAAGGGGGAGATGATGATGAGAGAGGGCAGGTCTAACGATGATGACGCTGCGAGGCATGCCAATTGCGTGGTATTGCGTATGCTCTTGATGCAAGTCACCTCGTTTCTGAGAGTCATAACGCATATCATGGCTGCCCTCTTATCATTTGCTCCCCCGTCTCGTTATCTGCCGAGCATCTGGGGAGATTTTGACGACGTGGAATTGGTCCAACACGAATGCGGGGAACGTTTTCGTGTTTCCCTCTGTGATCTGCAACTCATTCTTCACCCATTCAAGCCCAATATAGGTACATATCCCCAGACGCCGTTCGTCTCGTCTTATCGGTACGACTTGCGGAGTCGCACGGAAAACGAACACTGTCACCGTATAATTAGTGAAGCAGTTGGAGGAGGAGGAGCGGGTTCTAGCTAGAACGCTGCGATGTGCCCTTAAGCTTTACCGGATCTTCCGCCCCGGAGACGCTACCTGTCGGAGTGGGGTGATGCCGATTGAGCCCAGCTTATGGAGTACCATTGAGCGAGATGCTGGGTAGCAACGAGAGATGCCTGCCGTGCCTTTCGTTTCACCAATTTTGAAATGGTGATGGTTCACTCTTGGGATTCGGGTGTCATCATCCAGAGACCTAACCAGGAGCTGCATGTCACCCTACTTTACACTAATCTCGGAGCTCTCTCTCTCTGCGCGTCTCGACAGAACGAGCATCGTTTCTCCAACCCCGCGCGAACCCCCTCTTTACAGCAAGCCATGGTATGTTTCTGCTAACGCACTATCGATGACTTTACGTTGTAACCACATTTAGATGGAATAAGAAAGACTACTGTGTGGTCATGTTACTTTACACATGATGTGCCGTTGCTCTCCCACCCTCTCTCTCGGCCGACATCAAGAACCCGATATCCACGTGATGGCATTTCCAAGACGTGATTTATCGGACGTTTCGGAACCTGATATGATGATATGGGAAAGTTTGCTCCCCCTGGTAAATTGCTTTTGCTTGGTATTTCTTCATCGTGATGCGACATGATCTGAGTATGACAGTTTCTTGATACTCAAGACCAAACAAACATCGACTCATGGTGCGGGGAAGCTATTCATAGGCCGTAGGTGGTTCATTATAGACCAACTCAGCTGCCAAGAGTAATCCAGGATCTTTATCAAGCATAATATCACTGATTTAGAAGTCGGTAACTACTCAATTGGTCACCATTCGAGCTCTGTCAGAATTAAACACTTCCATAGAGAGCTTCATACATCAATAGCTGTAACTGAACTGACTGCACTGAACACTGCTCCCCCTCTCCGCTTCCCCCTCCCTGCAACCCCCCCTCGCCCGTTATCATGGCTCGCTAAGCAACGGCCCCCTCCCCTCCTCCTCCTCCTCCTCCACACCACCTTGGATGAGATCCTGGCTGTCTGGCTGCCAACCAGGCAGGGGCATCACCAGCAGAAACTGGGACCAAAACACCAACACCACGAGTTTGGCAAAAATACCACTGCCCTGTTGGTGTCTCGCGACTGCTTTCGACTGGTTTAATATCCCCGCTGATCGACCCTTGTTGCGTCCCCCTTGTGCAGTCGGTCAGATAAGGCCGGTGAATCGCGCTGTCTTGTATCTATTATCAAGGTGCCGGGTTTCAAGAAGATGCCTTGACAGGACTGGCGTATGTATTTCGCACGAGTCGTTGAAAGCTCCTTCATATAACGGGGGCATGTCATATTGAGAATCCACAGTATTTTCCACTCAGGCGCCGTGGCACTTTTGAGCGCCGCCCCCGATGGATACGTTTGCTGAATTCGAACAGCTTCAAACCCTCCCAAGGCAGCCACCAAGTCTCGAGATGGTTGCCCACCACTTGAGGCTCGGCCCTCTGATCAGCAAAACTTGTTCAGTTATGGATAGTTTACCTCTCTTCTTGTCCAGGCACAGGGACTTGGTTCCCGACTTTGGTGTTTATTCCTGGTATTTCCCTCGACACCAACTCAACAGATTTTATGTTCGCCTCGCCTCATTCTTTTTCTGGCTTCCCCAGACCTGGTCCTCCCCTCCGTGCTCCCACGGGGTAAAAGGAAAACTCAGACTCTATTGTCGTTTTGCAAAAAGGTGACTGCTTTATGACGTATTCTGCACAGATGCTGTGATCACCACCATCGAGGTCTAGTATGCAAATCGTTCAAATCGTCGGATCAAGTGGAGTTGTTGGACTGGGTGTGCACGGTCTCTGCTTCCAAGCAATTTCAACGCCAAGCATTTGTTTTACAATCGACGAGGAGAGCAGCGAGCAAGCGGAAAAGGCTGACTGATCCTAGAGGCTGGAACCACTAGCTAGCGAGGCTAGCAGAAGGCAAGGGAGCCTGGTTGGTGCCGGAGGATCGTACAAAGAGCCTCTCTCGACGTTCCATTTATCTCGCTACGATGCGATGGAGACATATCCATATCCATACATAGAGTAGAATCCACTTTCCGCCCCCTGTGAATGAGCCGCAGCTTTACTATCACATCAATGGCATGGGATGAATAGGAGTCAGAGTCAGAGTCAGAGCCAAATAACTAAACTAACCGCCATGACATACATGTCTCCGCTATGGAAGAGCCCTCTCATCTCCCTTCATGAGGTTCAAAACGGCTTAACACACGAGAAGTGGACTCCCCCGTGAGTAGCAATATCCCTCATCCTTATCCCTTTTCGCTCAAGGACTGCTACGTAATTGTTGCTATTCGTAAAGAATGAATGTTGAGATATTTCACGCACTGGCACTATGGAGCAGAGATGTGATTCGAATTCCACTTTATTTCTGTTGGCACAGACGCCTCGCTCTCGCTCTCTCACCCCGCGCATCCTTCCCCTCAATATCCAACGCGTGGACGCGGAGTTGAAGGTCCAAAGTTTGAAGTGGTGGCATACAGCATCACATCGTGCCAAAAGCCACCACACGAAATCTGAGCTCGCTTCTCCGCCACACACCAATAACATAACGGTAGTAGTCTGCGCTATTCCAAAGTAAACGGCCGCCTCACTTGCCTGGAAACTGTTCACTGCTACTGTAACCTCTTCACCGCCTCAGCCATGCATCTCTGTTCTGCGTCCTCATGAATCGCCCGCATTGCATTTTCTTACTGTAGGTACAGAGTGGCCTACAGTACACACTACCGTACACTGCACTTCTGTACATGCTCACACATGCAGGGAAGAACCGCCCCCGAGACAGGCGTGTCCCGCATTGTCTTGCAACATCGTGCATCTACCGTTTGTCAAATGACTGGTCGTGCCCACTGCTGACCTGACTTGCTCTGTCGTAAAGGGTTCCCCTCCTCGGAGGTGTTGCCCTCAGCTGCGGAGCTTATCTATCCCTTTGAGCTCTGCGTGCTGCTGTAGGGTAGTACTTTCACGAAAGTGTGCACATTGGGTAGACAATAGGGTAACCACCACCATCAGCAGCAATATTGAATATTGAGATCTCACATACATAAACGACTTTCTGTGCCGTAACGACGGCTCGTGTCATGTGCCAGAACATATGACAAGTCTGCTCTTCCCCGGATGCCCCAGACTCCGTAACTTCCCCATCCGAGCGCTCAATGCACAGTCGGACTGACGCTCGGTCAAGAAGTGAGGCGCTAGTAGGTGTTGAAACTGCGCAGTAGGTATTATCTCACCAAGTTCTAGATCTGCCCTCATCACACCCACTGACAACGGCCCGGGCCATTCTGACTCCTCACAGAGGCCGTTGCGAGTATCGTTTCAATGGCGACTGTTGTGCCACTCTGATAGCTAACCGTGAGGCGATGCTGGGCGTCGACTGGTCGAGAGTTTGGTGGCGGCTGATGAAACTTTCCGTGGAGAGTGCCATTTCTCGTGTTTTCTTTATGTTATCTCTACGTAGAGAGATAAGGGTTCTGCTTAGTCTACCTTCCTGTCGGAATGTGCATTTGGTGTCCCAAAATCATGATTTTGATATGTTGGTGTTCAGCTGTGCAGTTCGTTTATGCTCCCCAGATTTCGGTAGCATCGGCTCGTTGCTATCCCCTACAGTACAAAAACCTTGCCACATCTTTCCCTGATTCGGCCGACCACTGGGAAGCATCCATCTCGAAGAGCCCGGTGTAGC